TTCTCGATGCTTGGTGGGGCTAAAGGTAGAGGTCAAAACTGATGGACATAGCGCTGGGCTCTGGCCTTTCGGATGCCTCTCCAACAGGAGAAGCATGGGTTCTTTTGCATCTGAAAGCCCTTGCAGCATGTGACAGTTTTTCCATTCTAAGTCCACTGACATTATCTCCACACTTCTTCTTTGCGGTAGGGTTTAGATAGCTTGATTCTATAGACCCACCTTTATTATTGCTCACTCACCTTCTCCACTGTAACACATTGTGTTTCCCCAAGATGGCCATAGTAATATTGCCCATCGCACATTCTTCTCTTTCAGTGTGAGTTTGATGCTCTCGTACTAATATGTGGGTCTATGTTCACGAGCTTTGAATCCGGGCAGGCCTGTTATTACAGCGGAAGCGATGCTACGTGACTTCCAAGGCCAGCCCCTAAAAGGAGATACAGCTTCCACCTGGCTTTTCTTTGGGATACTTTAATCTGCCACATAAGAAGTCTAAGGCTGCCATGCTCTAAGGAGGTCCAAGCCATATGAGGAAGCCACATGTATGTATTCTGGCAGGGAGCCCGAGATGAGGTCCCAGCTAATAGTATCAACTGCCAGATAAATGAGTGAAGACACTTACATCCCATCACTGAGTTACCCCCAGCCTCCTGAGTCTTCCAGCAGAGGCCCCAGCCATTGTGGAGTAGAGAAAAGCCATCTTCATTGTGCCTGGTCCTAATTTCTAACTCACAAAAAGTGTGAATGATAATGAAATGATTGTTTTAAACAATCTTTTTTGAACCACTACGTTTCGTAGTGATTCGTTACACTATTGCAGCTGTGCATCTCTCATAGCAGCTGTCTTCTTGCTGAGAATCATTCTTAAAATCTATCACTTCCAAAGGAAAGTCTTTGTGAGTGACAGTTTTTAAAAGATAGCAAAATATGAGCGATTTTCAATTATTATAACAGGAAAGCAAAGCATGAGCATTTGAAATCCATAGCTGTCCTAAAAATCTTCACTTTTTAATTGCAACCATGTCTCTTAACAAAAATCATATCAATACTCCCGATTGGCTGTATTTTTAACTCATTTATCAGATTTTCTCCTTCGTGGTTAGAGATGCAGACAAGTAATAAATTGGCCAAAAGCCGGATAGTAAAAGAAAATAATGAGAGAAGCAACCTGTAGAATCCACTTCTTGAGTATTTCTGAATAACAGAGCTATAGCTCTACACAAAGAGGCATTCTCAGCTCAGATGACAGACTGTGGATCTAATAATGTCTTAAAGTATTCTTTGAAAGGTGTATTCTTTAAAATACCATTTCTGGTTTTTTGTTGTTTTTGTTTTGTTTTTTGTAGTCCAAAATGACCACCCTGCCCCCAGTGCCCATGACACGCCCAAAGCTTACATCCTTAGCCAGACAGAAGCTGCCCTGCTCCCCCAGGAGAATTCCAAGGTATGTGACCACGGTTTTAATATGTGTTCCTACAGAATGGATTTTTTACAGTAAGAAATGTCAATAGCATATATCAGGAAAAAAAATGTTCAAAAACAAAAGTATATTATTATATTCAGAATATTCATATTTACTGTTTCAAAAAGGTTGATGAACCTCATTCAAATATTAAGGATCTATTTGTTTAGCAAGTTAGTGCTCATTTGATCATTTTATTTCTTATTTCAATTCTGACTTGGTTCCTGTAAAGGTTTGAAGATACATTTTCTTTTTAAAATGCGTGTGGAGAACAGAAAGCAGATGTTTTAGCAATGAACAGTGTATGGCTTCTCATCCGTAAGGTCCCGAGTGCTGATTTCTGTGTCGGAGGAAGGAGGACACAGTCTTCCTACTTGGGGAGACTGGCAGGCACCATTTAGCCCCTGAAAACCCTGGGACTGCAGGTGTGCCACCAAACCGCTGCTGCCTCTGAAGGGCTACAGAGCTGGAGAAGCGGATGAGAAACTGCAAGACAGAGAACATGATGGCGTATGTCAGAATTATGACTGACTAAGATTGAGTTATTTAGTAATTGCATTTATAGTTATATTGATTTTTAGTAATACACATATTATTCATTGATAGAAATAATTTGCATATCTAGGTTTGATTATTTTCATTCTATGCATACTTTTCAATTCCTGCAAGGCGTAATTATCAAAGTATTAGGAGACTACTTTGTTCTGAGAAGAATCATACCTTATTTTTAGTATTTCTGGGAAAGACCAAATCTCCTGGACCAAAATAAATACATTCAGCTAGACTATACAAATGTGTGTGTTTTTTTATAACAGCAAATCAAATTTTCTCAAAAATTTAAAAAACAAATTTTAATAGATGCATTATATATAATTGAGGCATAACTGATATTATATTACTGATATATATATATGTATATGTATATATGTGTGTATACGTATATGTATATATACATACTGGTATATATATTTACTTTTGAACAATGTGAACTATTCACAAAGTCTGAAAAAGCTTATTCTTTCTATCTTTTTTAATGATTGACATTACATTTTCTTTTCAGCATTTGCAAAAACATAGCCAATCTCACATTCCTAAAATAAGAGGGATTTTAAAGAAAACTTTTTCTTGTGTTTCTTTTATTGAGGAAAAACATGTGTATCATAATTATTTAAGGCAAAGTTTTGTCAACATTCTCCATTAGCTTCTGAATAAAAACAGATATTTGCTTAGTTTCAAACTCCCATGGTTATAAGACGTTAATAGTATACTTATTTTTAAAAGGGTGTGAAGAATAGACTACACAAGCAATGTATTTCTCAATAAAATCTTAAAATCAATTTGCATCTTGAACTTTTAATAACAATTTGAGTTTTATGTGTGCTTAAAAAAATACCCAAACGGTATTTCAGAGCAAAATTTGGTAATGTTTGGAACAAAGAAATTTTATATATTTGTATCCAATAGATAGTCTTAGTTCAAGATTCTGTGCCAAACAGAATATGACTTCTGTGAAACAACGTGAGTAAAATGGAAGATCTCGTAAGGTTGGAGGGGAAAACGTCATTTATTTAAGAATGCAGATTATTTTAATGTGTTTGGTGTTTTATTTGTTTACACCTAGGCTTAATATTCTCCCCTGTCTTCTTCCATTCAAGAAAATTAACATTTTGAAATTTTAATCAAGAACCTAACTCTATAGCTATTGCCGAACATTTATTATATGTGATATTATGCCCTGAATATTTCTGTTATCCTGGTGGCATTTTATTTTTAGTAGCTTTTCAACTTGATAAGGCAGTGCTTTATTATTTCTTTCCATTTCATTTAGGTCTCAATTGATCAAAGAAAAAGGTGACATAGATCATTATGTGGAGGTGAATTTCAAAGGATTGTCAAAAGAGGAGGTTGCTGCGTAAGTATAACCTCTTAAAGGTACTTTAATATAAAGTTTGTTTCTTTTGTCTTGATACTTTATTAAAATTTCAATTTTCCTGTGCAGTAACACCTTTTCATTGGACCATGGCATTTAAAAATTAAAGCTCATATTAAATAGTGATAAGTCATGTCTATTGATCTTACACATATCAAAGTCTTTAATTTTATGGCTTTCAGAATTCTCATATTTACCAAGATATTATACTATCACATTTGCCATATTTTAGTTAAGTCCATGCCTTTAATTGCTTATTAATCTCCATTTTACGGTATGTTGCCTCTGTGAAAGAGAAAAAAATGTTTAAAAGATTCATAAATCTTATTTTTCCTGGTGATTTTTTAAAAAATTCTTACTAACATATCTCCTCCCTACCCCCAGAAACCCACAAAAAGAATTAATGGATTGTAGTTTATTGGTTAATTTTATTTTTATTTATTTAATTTATTTAGTATTATTATTTTTTTTTAGTGAGGCAACCCTTGGTTGACCTCACAGACTGCAAGGACCTTGTCAGCTTACAATTCCCTTTTTTTTTAGGCCTACAGCACCTGGTCTTCCTAGATGGTCTCCCATTCAAGTACTAATGAGGCCAACCCTACTTAGCTAAATGGGATCGGGCTTGTTCAGGGTAGCATGGCCGTAGACTTATTGGTTACTTTTAAAATGACTTTAAAGTATCTGGATTTATTTTTTTAAATCAACAATGTAAACTTTGCTATTTTACTACTAGTTAGAACCTAATTTATGATGTGAGTAAAATCAGTATAAAAATTCGTGTAGTTTGGTGAGAAGCGAATAGAAGCCTAGAATGATAGCGAAACAGGTTTGATATTTCTTATCTATAGACTTGGTGACTCTGTTGTCATCAGATCTTAAGATGTAAGCACTGAAAAGTAGAAATCTTATAAATGCACATGTATCATATAGAATTCACTAAATGATTTTATTAAAATAATTTGTGGAAGAAAGCTTTTAAGAGAGTTTGTTAGTATTGTCTAGTACTGTAGGATTCCAATGAAAGAACATTCCTGATATTTTTGGTGTTGATTGTCATATAGTCTAAAATTCTAAGCCTCTTGATATATTTCATTTTATTAGATATCATGTTTGTCAATTTGCATATAATAACATGGTAAAACGGAATAGTTCATTCTGTCAGTAGATACTTGATTTTACAGAGTGACAAAATTTTCTGGTAATTGTAATCGTTGTCTTCCTTGGAGCTCTTTTGATTGCCATGTGTATCTGGGACCTTTGGTTAGATGCTATATTGATTGTTAGTTTGGTAACTTTTTATGGTAACCTTTGGATAAAATTAAAGGTCAGTATTGTCTGATGATACAGTTACTTTTCAAAAGAAAAATACACATGAGTGATACTTGCATTTTGATTTAAATATAATGACATCCACATGGCCAACCCAGCTGTAATTGGCTTAAGAATTAGGACTTAAATTTGTAATTAAACTTATTCTTCACATAATTTAATAAGATGGAAATTCATATACTTATATCTGCTACGGTTTTACTCTGTACTGAAGAAAACTTTTATCTGAAACAATGCAAAACAGGCTATCCCGATGAGTCTTCTCTTAATATTTTTTTCACTACGATTACCAAATTGATTTTAAATCTATATCATACTACAGAAAACAAGTAGCACTTAGTAATTCTCAGTCCTTAAGACTGCATTCTCCTTAAAGCTTCCTCACTTGAATACCCTTTTTAGACCAAAGCTTTTTCCCTAAGAAAGTGAATACAAATATTAGTAGAAAATAACTTGTACTTAGCTCACTATTATGCTTTTGATTGATATACATTCTAGACCTTGCCCTAAACAGAGTAGCATTGTAAAGGAGAAAATTGGCGAATGATTTCAGCATCTTCCAGCAAAACCCAGCAAGTGCCATGATGAATTATGCATATTCTGTTAGCCAAGAAATTGCCGCATAAAACTTTTTATTAGGCATTCAACTCTGAAAATGGTCAACAGGCATTTAAAGTGCCTACTTTATGCCCAATACTAGGTTTTTCACAGTGGGAGAGACAGTGATATTTTATTGTAAAATACTTAGCCCCATCCTTGTCTCTATTTGAGACAATAAGATCTGTGAGCAGGAAACAGGTATGGAATGAAGAGTTCTGTGAGATGCAGCCTAGTGCTCTAGAGAAAGTCAGAGGATCCTAAGGCGGTAGAATGGGACTTGCCAAGGAAGAGAAATTTTGAGTTTGGCGTCCTGTCTGGTAGCATTATAAAATGATCAGAGTGGTACATCACGGATCCTCAGCATACAAGAACGTAATGGGGAGAAATTAAAGAATCAAACTTTCGACCAGTCAAAAGCCATATCTAAGGTATACTCTCAAATCCCTCTCTGCCTTCTTCTTCTCTAGGATGGTAATAGATGTTACCATAATTACCCATTAAAGAACTGATGTACATACACTAGCTTTGATGTCCTATAATATACTCTTTGTCTAGTCCCATGATAACCACTCATCATCTACCTTAAAATGGACCAGCGTACTTATACATAAACTTATCTCTGTGACTTTCCTCCTGCTGCGGTGGAGAGTTCTCGAGCTTGTGTAAGGATGATTCTCTCCTGGGCTGTGGATGCCAATCCCCTCTTACTCAGTCCAAGACCTCCTGCAGTTAAACATGTTTTCTTTCTACATGATCAATTTTTCCTTTTCCATTGGATCAATCTTATGAGCATTAATATCTACTCTGATATTTCCCTTGACTCCTAACCTCCTCCAGATTCTACCCCATTTTTTCTACCCTTCACAGCAAGCAGAAGTGCTCTTTCAATATTTCCACATTCCATTCTTGCCTCAAATGACTCAAGAGGTTTACAGCCCCAGAACTCACTAAAATCTCTCTGTTCAGCATGACCAGTGTCCCCCATTTGTACTATATCTAATGGTCATGTTTCTGTCTCATCTTGCTCGATGTCTTCATGGCATTTGATAGAACCAAGCTCTCCTCGAATGTTCTGTAATTGTGGCTTCTGGGTGCCAGGTCTGTGGTTTTCCTCCACACCCTTTGACTGTGCCGCCTCAGTCTCCTTGGCTGGCTTTCTCTTTTCAAACTCTCAGTGGTGGGTTGTCCTTAGGCCCTCCACTCCAGCCACACTCTCTACCTGGACCCAGTCTTATAGCATTAAATGTTAGCAATAGCCTGATGACTATCAGATTTATAAATCCAGTCCTGACCTCTCCATCCAGCTCCAAATTTTTATATTCAGCTGCCTCCTTGACATATTTACTTGGATATATAATGGACATTCGAAGGTTAATATGGCCCAAAACTGGACTCTTGCTTTACCCTTACTGCCCCTCACCCTCCACTCCAAATATTTCTCCCACAGTCTTCTTCCACTACAGTAAATGGCACCAAAGCAGCCTTGAATTTCACCTTGCCCTCACCATCCCTCCCCCATCTGTCTCATCAGTATACCCCATGAGATACAAGTCCAAAATATATCCTATATTCATCTACTCTTCTTCATTGCATAGCTACCATCATCTCCCACCACGATCACTAGAATAGTCTCCTAATTACTCTTCTCATATCCCCTCTAAATCTGCTAAAATTCAGCCACCAGAGTAATCTTGGAAAAAATTAGATGATGATGCTTCCCTGCTTAAAACCTCTTAAGAGGTCCCCATTGCTCTCATAATAAACTCTGAACTCTTCATCATGGCCTAACACTGTGTGGGAGTTAGACATTGCCGACCTCTCTGACCTTATCTCCCATTCTCCCCACCACTCACTCTTCTCTGTGTGGCCTCATTGCTGACACTCCTTGTCATTGCAGCTGTCACTTTGAAGGTCACCTCCTCAGTCTGGCACTCCCTGACTTCCTAATTTAGTAGTCCTCACCCCATTCACACTTACTCCCAAGCAAATTATCTGTGTCTGTCTCTGCTATAACCGGACCCACAGAAGCAGGAGTGGGTCTGTGTGTGTGTGTGTGTGTGTGTGTGTGCTGACACTCCTTGTCATTGCAGCTGTCACTTTGAAGGTCACCTCCTCAGTCTGGCACTCCCTGACTTCCTAATTTAGTAGTCCTCACCCCATTCACACTTACTCCCAAGCAAATTATCTGTGTCTGTCTCTGCTATAACCAGACCCACAGAAGCAGGAGTGGGTCTGTGTGTCTGTGTGTGTGTGTGTGTGTGTGTTTGCACGCACGTGTGCGCGCGTGTGCGTGTTTGTGCCACTGTCTCCCAGGGCCTAGACAGGCAGGGCACATGGGTGGAGCTCAGTAACTAGATGTTAAATGAACAAATGAGTGAAAAAAAATATATATAAGATTAACAACACCATGAAATAGGTATCCTGCTATGAATAGCCTTTGGTTACAACATTTTTAATTCAGTATTGCATGTAACTGGTTTGACTATTGAATCAAGGATGTTTACCTCCTCAAAAGTGTTTTATGTACCAAATAGGAGTATAATATTTGAACAAGTAACTATGCAGGACAAGCTGAACTAATTGTTCCTGAGATAGCTAAATCTAGTTGATAGGGTTAATTTTACTTTGGAATGGGTAAAATAGTTTAAAGGCAAAGAGCTTCTGGGTTTTTTATCATCTGCATTTACAGGAGGAATTTCAGCATGCTTTATTGCTTTTTAAGTGACTGGATTATGGCCGTGCCTAATAGGTGCATTTTTAAAAACATTATACGTATATTGACACTTGTAATTTGATTTTCTTAGATAAGTCCTCAAATAGTTTGTTAATAGTATTTAACTAATTTTTAACAACTAAAGGTCATGTTGTGTTTCTGTACTTTTTTAAATTCTGTATTACACGATCAGAATGCATTATGTTTTTAAAGGATGTAAGGTATCACTTATTATCATATCATAATTGCTTTGAGTCACTAAGCAATAAAAGTGTCATTTATAGATTCAAATAAAAATTTCTGGGGGCAGTTTTTACAGCTTTAGCTATGTTCATGA